AAAAATATTGACAGTAAGGCTGTATAATCAAATGCGCCATCTTACTGTGCTGAATCGTTGATTGTATCGCCCGAAGAATCTTCTCTGGGAGCAGCCGTCTGCTCCTTAGTCTTGTCCGCAAGTTGAGCCGATGAGAAGAGATCTAAAAGGATATCCACCGTGCTTGAAGCCAACATGGACGCAATAGGAGGACCCAAATTCGCCACGCGATCTACCAGAGAACGCAAGGTCAGGAAGACGGGGCCACTGCGCGGACTCGGGCTGAGCAGTTCAAGCAGTCCGCATAATTCAACGGGCAGGCGAAGGAGAAGACGGCACCACCAAATGCGGGAGGCTTGAAGCTTTAAAACAAATTCAGCAAAAGCAAGACTTTTCAATAAGGACAAACGAAATATATCTACACCGGCGCAACAGTCAAAGTTTACGATACTCTTCAATCAGATATGGTGTCTGCTTTATATGGCCGATACATCAAATAAAACTAACAATGCCAGTGGTACATGCATTCCCAGTACATAGCACACTCCAACGCTCTCCTAGTGGATCAGAACGAGCTGCAAAACGTACATTCTTTAGATCCGACGGCGACGGTTCGAAAAGGGTCTCGAAGGGTAAGGGCAGAGGCAGCAGATCTATCAGCAATTTGAGACCGGGAAGGAAGAATTCAGGAGAGGAGACAGTAAAGGAGAATATTTCCCTGCAAACTTTGCACCAGAGGGTCTTCGAAGAACCTGGAAAATATAATGACACGAATGAATTCTGTTAGGATAGCTGGATACAGATATAAAGTGACAGTTCAAACGGAATATTGAGATGGGTCTCTAGATGGCAAACACGGTTGCACGACTTACCCTCAAGGCTCACTTCGTCTTGACCCAGAATTGCGTAGGCCGATAGAGCGCTCAAAACGCCACTTCGCAACTAAAATGAATTTGGAAAGTTCCTTACTAGAGCAAAAACCTTTAGGGTAAACACGATATTCAAAGTGAGATATGTAAAACCTACTCGAGAAATCAGGAACGGCGAACGCAGGGACTGGTCAAGGTAGACAACTGCAGCAAATGCCTTGCAGAGGCCAGCGACCAGTGTTGTATCATGGAATTCTCCACCAACAACTTTTTTCAGCGTCGCCAGAAGAGCTCCCAAAACCTCCACAGCCAAAACGAGGATCTCCACCAAGAGGTCAATGTCTGAGGGAGGATTTGTAGCCTCACAGAACGCGTCACTCACGACTACAAGGTAGTCAGAGATGCGTTCAACCAGACTTGACAGTAAACTCAGTCCGTTTCGACTGTACAGTTCAATGACAAGTAACTGGGTAGTCAGAGCTGGAAGAGATTTTGGTATAACCTCCGGGACAGGTTGAGGGGGAGGCTGTGGGTCCGCAGAGCTTGAAGGTAGACGCATGTGGCCTTTTAAGAAGCGTAATAGGAGGAGCACAGCAGGTGGAAGCGAATGAAGAGCAACAGGCACGGCAGCAGTGCTTTCTGCAGTGCCAAGAAGGTCCTCAGTTAGGTTCTGTGAAACAGCAGAGTCGAGTGATTTATCAAGGTCCTCGCACAGGGACTGCAATTGGTCAGCCAGCCAACCAAAGGCCTCCTCAGAGCTGGAGGAAATGTCGGTGTAGAAGACGGCAGAGGGAGCTTCGCGCAACCAGTAGAACCAGCAGGCTGCTGCATCAGAGAAGCGTCGCAAGTGGGAGAAAACAGCTGCAGGCGTTAGGCTAGTGAGCGAATCCTCCCACGAGGTGGCTGAAAAAGTTATTAAAACATTGTTACTGAAAATATTTAGGTAGACAGTGTTTATGATAAGTAAATTTGTAGGGAGGCGTACGCGGGAGGAACTGCAGCAGGCGCGGACCGAAGTGCTCCAGGTAGTTAACATCTTCCGCGTAGCGCACCACACCCATGCAGACCGTGGTGAGCAATGTTGGCAAATCAAGTTCAGCAGAGAGGCCGAGACGAGATAGGAAAGTGCGACGTTGACCACCGCGCCGGCCAGTAGTCGGGGGCGCCGCCTCTGCCGACTTTCCGGGGGTATCAAGTAACGAGCCACCAGCGGCCTTGCCTTGATCACCATCACCTATACACAGTGCAAAACACCTTAGCAAAAGACAACATAACGCTGCGAACCAAAGCAAATATACTGAACTAAAAATCATCACGGTAAGCTAAAAAAAAACGACTTACGTGCGTCCGATTCGTTCACGGTGTTGGCATTGTCTGTTGAAGGTGAGGCGTGGTAACTATGAAATGCCTCCAGAAGTATCAGGCAGGGAAGAAAGTACTCCTCGCCAGAAACAACTTGAGCAGCCCAGGGGGCAAGCGATATTGGAGGGGAGATCTTATCTTTCTGACAACGAGTACTGCAAGTGGAGACGAAGAGTCGTGCGAGACCGAAAAGAGCATCATATAGGCCGTCCCGTTGTGTGTCCTCCGTCTGGGAGGTTTCTTCGGTTAAGCGGTCGTGGATGTACGCTTGGAGACCTGCGACACCTCAAGGGAAAGCGCAGATCGAGACAGCAGGTAAAGACAAAGGAACAAAACGGACAAGAAATCAACTACATGACAGGCTCTTCGAAAAAATTAGAGGGACAAATCGCACTGACTCACCTTTTTGACGAGTTATGTCTATCAAATGGTCGACCCAATGGAGGGCTTCCAGTTTAGTTGCCAATTCCAGACCTATTAGTTCTCTTTTTGCCAGCAAGGCGGGCTCAAGTAGGCCTGAAGAGTCGGTTCCCAACAGGAGTTTAAGCAAGTTGCTTGTGAGATCGGTATTGGAGGCGATTAAGAGGAGAGTAGAGGGAGTATTGATTAATGTCTGCAAGCAACGCAATGCGGCGGGCAGACAGGCCGCGAGGATGAAATGCATGGGAACTTCGGATTCCGACTCTGGTTTTGGTTTAGAGACGACTGCAAAGCCAGCCTCCAGGAGCCAGACCAGATGATTGAAAAAATGCCTGTTAAAAGGAAGGATAAGCATTATGTACGTAGGGTATCAGGGCGACACGTTTAAATGTGCAGGTTGCAAAAGAAGCTGAACTCACGAAGATAACAAAAGACGACAGAGCGCTGCGTAGGCGTCATTGCCGGACCTAGAATTGTCCACCCTAACCAAAACATTCTTCAATTTTTTGCCGGGGTTTGCCTGTGAGAAGAAGAAGAAATGAACGGCAGATGAGGTAAGCCGAAATACGTCAGACAAGATTGCATGGCTGATGACATAACGATAAAAAACAAGGTTTTAGCATACAGTTCTGATGGGAGTTGTACCCTAACCAGGCAGTAAACAGCAAACACATTGGAATAAATAGCTAATAAAACTCAAACGCACTCCAAATTCATTTAGATGCAGCACTATGTTCAAGTTTATCCCCAATCTTGGGGAAGGGAAACACTAATTTACTTAAAGCACTTTTTCATCAGTAAGAGGCAAGAGGCCGTCCGCCAACTCCTTATTCGCTACTGAAAGCTTGAAGCTGTCGTCCACTACTTGCTGATGTTAGGCTTCCCAGTAAATGTCATAAACGGTCTTTTTCGCTCTTCTTTAAACGATAAGCTACATGCGATGTTACTAGACGAACCAATTGTTGCCTAAGGGCGAACTTTGAAGGCTCGGACAAAGCTATTTCGCTCAAAAGTGTAGCTTTGGCAAAAGGAGGCAACTGTGAATTCGCTTAGTCTCCGAGTTTTGAGACGACAGTCTACTTTACTAACCCGTGTGAACGTTAGGACATTGTGACGGCTCGAGGAATTTTGTGGACCGCACAGGTGTCTGTTAACCACATCGTAAAA